TTTATTTTCTGCACCAGTGAGTTTGTATTGGCCTGTTAGTTGACGCTCCTGAAGGTATCCGCTGGGGTGCAACTATTATACATCCAAACTGTCACAAATGGAAACATCGCTTTGAAAGACAAAGGGTAATTTATTGAGAAAAGGGTGTCATTTAGGTGGAAGGACTGAAGGCAGAGAGACAGTTGCTGCAGAACTGCCAAGAGAGAATACCAGATTCGCTGATAGTCAGGGAACAGCTTTGAATTTCCAAGGCTGCCCTTGAGGGATAAGAAAATAAAAGCTAAGGACACACACACAAAAAAAAAATTCTTAAATACAGTGACAGCAGACTCAGGAAGGATCACTGTGAAAAATGGGACTTTCTCCTCTGTAACAATAACTGAGAAAAAGATAGGAATGTAATTTGTAAAAGCTGTTAAATTGCCACCAAAAATTGTGAGCTGGGTGGAGAAATGACACAGAAGGAAAAAAGAAACAAATGCATATCTGTCCATCTTGGAGTATTGCTTGAAAATGGGGCTAGACGATGGAGGAGAAATGGAGCTGAGGAAGGGGAGAGCTGGGAGAAGCCACCTGGCTCGGCTGGGTGACAGCAGCTGGTCACCACCAAAGCTTCACTCAGGAGCTCTCGTGGGCTGTGGGAGGAAAATGGTCTTGCGTGTCTCCAAAAATGCAAACCCACAGCTCCATCTTTTTTGGGTTTTTTTCTGAATCATACGTTCTCCTCTGTCTCAGAGGGAGCTTATCATATGGAAATGGCAGTAAGGAGCCAGGAGCACGCAGCTTGGTCCTCTTCGAGCTCCGGGGGAAACTTCTTGCTAGGAAGGAGTTTGCAGGATGGGCTCCAAGTGACAAACTTTGGGGGAAACGAATTGCAAACAGCCTTGAGTAAGGCATGATGGCCTCGCAGAAACCACCCGGGGTGAAAAGCTCTCTGCAAGAGCCTCACCCCAAGCTGCCCGTGGGGTTCGGGTGCCCACGCTGGCAGGACAGGGGACTGGGGTGCGAGGAGCAGGGTGGGGAGACCAGGAGAGATGGGGCTGTCTCCAGCACTGGCAGGCCATCACCCTGCGCGTGTCCCCTCCCAGCCCTCCCCGGCCCCGCTGGCCCCTGAGCATCCTGACGAAGCCAAACAGCGCTTCGGTTATTTCAAGGCCATTAAAAAATAGATCCGCTGAGGAAGCGGAGTGCGTTGTGGCACTACTCCAAAGCGTTCCAGCATTAAAGCCTGCAGGGCGTGGGTGCGGGACGGCTCTCGAGTGCCCGCCCCGCTCCTCAGCAGCGTTTGCAGCATCTGGATTGACTCAAGTTAAATTAGCTGAGGGTGCTGGGGTGACGTGCCTCAGCAGAGGACCCCCGCTCTGCAACTCAAACCCCCCAGCAAGTCTCAACCTGCTGCAGCCGAAGGCTGAGCTGAGGCTTCTTCGAATGCAAACCGATCGGCAAAACCAACCACGCACCATTTTCGAGTATAAAAGCATCACTGTACAGACGCAGAAGCACATTCTTAGACATGAAGGCTGCTTCAAAATCCCGCTTTTATGTTTTCCATGTGGTGATCGTCTAGCAGACATTTCCCTTAAGTCTCTGGAGCTGAAATCATGGTGCAAGACAAAATGTTGCCATTTGCATTAGGGAATTCATTGAAATTAGTTCTTTCTTGAATGTTTTAGTTGAAAACACGCTTGTACACCCAGGTACAACAAAAGCAGGTGCTCAGAGGGTCGTCATTACCAAATTGTGATATTTCTCATGGCGCTCTCAAACTCCGGGTGTGGGAATATTTCTTTTCAGCTGGAAACATCTATGATTAAGCCACAGCCAATGAGAAAAGCAGCAGAAATTGCATTTACAGCTCCACAATTCAGCAGATCAGTGGGTGTGCACCTCTGGCCTCAACCTGCGCGCGGGTGGGTCATTTCTCCTGAAAACCAGGAGAAAGCAGTGCGAGACACGGGGTTTGGGGGATCAATTCTGCCTGCGGAAAATATAAAGCCAGGGAGGAAAACGATGCGGGGGCATCCTTCCCAGCTGCAAATGTCCTCTGCGTCCTCCTGCAGCCTCAGGACTGCAGAGCCCCTCAGCTCTGGTCGTCAGGCTGTGGAGCCCCAAGGAGCCCCATGGCTCCAGTCTTTAGGCTCCAGAGCTCCACAGCTCTGGTCTTCAGGCTGTGGAGCCCCACGGACCCCCACGGCTCCGGTCGTTGGGCTGCAGAGCCCCACAGCTCTGGTTTTCGGGCTGCGGAGACCCGTGGAGCCCCACGGCTCCAGTCTTCGGGCTGTGGAGCCCCACAGAACCCTACAACTCTGGTCTTCGGAGCCCTGTGGATCCCCATAGCTCCGGTTTTCGGGCTGTGGAGCCCCACGGAGCTGCACAGCTCCAGACTTTGGGCTGTGGTGCCCCATGGAGCCCCACAACTCCACTCATTTGGCTGTGGCTCACTGCTTCTGCCCTCCCATGCCTGGTCACATCACTCCAAATCCAAAATTCTAGTAGCAAAGAAGTGTTGGGCAGATTAAAATGCAAGGAAATAATGGCAAGGGTGGGGTTTTTTCAGGGTTGAGGGGAAAGATGGGGAGGAGGGAGGGAGGACGTGTTTCCAGATACCCCATTGCTTTAGAGAGCTCACAGGATTCAGATAGCTGGAGTGATCTTGACAGGCTAAAAACCCAATCTGCTGGAAATCATATACCTCAAATAACGTGCTATTGCTGCTGATCGTCCGTGTATTTTAGGGCTGAACAGACACACTATTAAATGCATCTCAGGTTCTCATTTCCCACCAGTTACTGCTTGTTTGACGAGGCTTGAGTGAAGTTTGAAAGGCTTTTACTGAAAACGGTCGCAGGAGGAGTAAGGTTTGACGGGTTTGCTCAAGGGCTGAGCAGATCTGCCTGCGACCCCAGGCCCGGGGGAGCTGGGGTTGCTCTGCCACACGCTCCGTGTTGCTGCCTGGGAGAGAAGCCAAGGATTGTATTTAACGAATTGAAATACTGATCAATATTACCTTTGTAATGACATTCCAGTGCTTTAACCAGCGAGCCTCCCAGCAGTGCCGGGAAGTGATAAAGTTCTGTTTACCTAAAGGCGAAACATGTTACTTATAGCCCTTTCCTCCCTTGGCCACAAGCTCCGGTGTCACTAAGCTTGGGCGGACAACTTAGCCTGTCCCTCAGCTGAGGGAAAGGTGAAAAAAACCCCATCTTCACAGACAACCCCATGTCCGGAGAAAGGCCAAGACGCGTGCTGTCTCCTGGTGAGCCAATAACACTCCAGTCTTCAAAAAGGGCAAGAAGGAGGACCCAGGGAACTACAAGCCGGTCAGCCTCACCTCCATCCTGGGAAAGATGGTGGAGCAGCTCATTCTGGAAGTCATCATGAAGCAAGTGGAAGAAAAGAAGGTTATCAGGAGTAGTCAGCATGGATTCACCAAGGGGAAATCATGCCTGACCAATCTGATAGCTTTCTACGATGACATGACTGGCTGGATAGATGAAGGGAGAGCCGTAGATGTTGTCTACTGTGACTTCAGCAAGGCTTTCGACACAGTCTCCCATGATATCCTCCTAGGGAAGCTCAGGAAGTGTGGGCTGGATGAGTGGTAGGTGAAGTGGATAGAGAACTGGCTGAATGGCAGAACTCAGAAGGTTGTCATCAGCGGCTCTGAGTCTAGTTGGAGGCTGGTAACAAGTGGTGTCCCTCAGGGGTCAGTACTGGGCCCAGTCTTGTTTAACTTCTTCATCAACGACCTGGATGAAGAGTTAGAATGTACCCTCAGCAAGGTTGCTGATGACACCAAACTGGGAGGAGTGGT